ATTAAATAAATAAATAATTTAGACATATAAACTGTTAAGAATAAAGAAATAAAGAAAATAATTAAACACTGTTTATTGGTGCAATTTTTGGTGCATTGGGTTGAAAATGATTTTTAATTTAGTGCAAAATTTGTTACAAAATAATGTAAAATTTACCACAAATTCTGATGTAAGGTTGGAGATGGCCTCAGCAATAGAGTCACCAACCCAACACACGGGCCCACGTATAATATATTCGCTATGGTTTTGGGATATGACTAGATCCAACATTGGAGCATGAATCAACCCTTCTCCCTTCCTTTCTATTTAATTACTGAATCATGAAATTTTGAAGAGAAGCTCAAATTAGAAAGCCCAAAAGAGTTCTGACATTTACATGTACGTACAGTCCATGTATATCTTTACAAAAAGTGAGATGTGATCCTCAAGAATTTACATGGGTATGTTCCATTTCTTGATCCTTTTATTATAGCAATTTAATTAGTTATTTTTCTCTTGGATTGATTCTTTTGAATTGAGTTTAAATTGTTTCTTGATGAAAGCCTGATGGCTTGTTAGTACCAGTTTTTGCTCTGTTTCAAGTTATAAGTCGATTTTTTAAGGATGAGCCACGAACCAACAAAAATTAGTACCAAAGCAGACACACTCCTTCGATTTTTTAAGACTGATTTTATGAAGTCACGCGTTGTTAAAATTCTTGGTGTTTGGTTGTTAAATGTTAGGTGTGTTAACTTTATGACATATTTGGGTGTTTCCAGCCTGTGTTTTGCTATGGTTTCTACTTTCTACACTGACACAGAGCCCCACCTAGCCTGCAGAGGGAGGAAACAAACACATTTTTCAGATGGATTATAAGTTATAAGCCTTCTTAATTATTATGCGCGTTCATTTGTTACAGACAATTTGAAAAGGAGTCACCCTTAAAACCGACAAACAAATCTAAAGATGATTTGTTGTTTGGTTTTATTATCTTCTTTGTGATTGATAATGGAGACTCTCTGATAATGGTGATTCTCTAGTTTTTAAAGTATTTATTAATCTTGGCTCATTGAGGTTATCATTTCTTTCACAGACAGTACAATGAGTTCTTCACTGAACATGGATGATGAGTATGAGAAATTCATCAGGAGAATGAACCCTCCAAGGTATCTTTAAAATTTCTTCTCTCTGTTTATTTTTGTGTACAACTCACTTAAATATAAATTTTATATACTCTTGAGTCTTGAAATTTACTCCAATTTTTCGTGGCCTGTGATCAGAGTTGAAATTGATAATGAATCCTGCGAAAATGCAACGATTATTGAGGTATATCTTGCTCGTCTATTTCGATTCAATCTTGATATCTTGCAGTATGCTTTTTGATTTTGAGAATTTTTGGTACATGTTCTTTTAAATGCAGGTGGGCAGTGCTAACAAACATGGAATACTTCTGCAAGTTGTACAAGTCCTTACTGATCTTAATCTTGTGATAACTAAAGCTTATATTTGCTCTGATGGAGGATGGTTCTTGGATGGTATTGACATTTTCCTCTTCTTTCCATCTCCTAGAATTTTCCCGTTCCAAATTTGAATTAGTATAGCACTGGGCTAAAAACATTGTTGTCGACTTTTTTTCTGCCAGTTTTTAATGTTACTGATCATGATGGAAACAAGATTACAAATGAAGGGATTCTGGACTATATCCAGAAGGTGAATAGTGCTGAACTTGATGATATTGATAACTTTCTCTTTGCATTTACGCGAAAGCCAAATTGTTGACATTGGTTTTCTTTTCAGTCACTTGGTCCGGATTCTTGTTATGCGTCGTCTATGGAAAGATCTGTTGGGGTGATTTCGGGAATGGACCACACCTCTATCGAGTTAATAGGAAGTGATAGACCGGGTTTACTTTCTGAAGTGAGTGCCGTTCTCACTCACCTTAAATGTAATGTGATGAATGCTGAGGTGTGGACACATAATACCCGAGCGGCAGCTGTAATGCAAGTAACCGATGAAGAAAGTGGAGGTCCAATTACCGATCCTGAGAGGCTGTCCAAGATAAAGCGACTTTTATGTAATGTACTTAAGGGAAGCAACAAATCCCGGGAAGCGAAGACTGTGGTCTCTCATGGGGTCACTCACACTGAGAGAAGGCTTCACCAGATGATGTTTGCCGATCGAGACTACGTACGTGCGGGCAATGACGCCATGGTTGAAAGAGAACGACCGGATGTGAATGTTGTCAATTGGGAGGACAGAGATTACTCGGTGATCACAATCCGGTGCAAGGATAGGCCGAAACTTATATTTGATGTAGTCTGCACTTTGACAGACATGCAATATGTGGTTTTCCATGGAAATGTTGATGTCAAGGGGACAGAAGCATATCAGGTATATCATTTTTCTTATGGATATGATATGTATCTATGCAAGTTGGATAATTCTGGGGACTGAATTTTTTTTTATATTAATGTTTAAAGGAGTACTGTATAAGACATATCGATGGATCCCCGGTGAAATATGATGCTGAGAGAGAGAGGGTGATCCAATGTCTTGAAGCAGCAATAGAAAGACGAGTATCTGAGGTAACGACATATTTTACATCCAAAATCAGTGTCTAGTGCATATAGAATTGATTTCCTGCCCCCAGGGGCCAGGATATGCCACATCAGCAGTGGCAGGAGGTCAGATCTGCTATTGCATATGTGTGTGCTCATTTGTTTTCCCTCTCGACAGGGATTGAAACTCGAACTGCGCACAACGGACAGAGTTGGGCTGCTGTCTGATGTCACTCGAATTTTTCGTGAAAATAGCCTCACCGTACTAAGAGCAGAAGTGACAACAAGGGAAGGTAAAGCCGTTAATACATTTTATGTTCGTGATGCATCCGGATATCCTGTCGATCAAAAGATAGTAGATTCTATTAGGAAAACAATTGGACAGACTATACTCCATGTAAAAGGCTGCCCTCAAGAGTTAAATCATGTTCCCCAAGAATCTCCTATTAGGTTCCTCTTTGGTGGCCTCTTCAAGTACAGATCCTAGTGTAATTTTGGTTTGATTAGGTCATACCCCTGAAGTACTAATTATTTGGCCTTTTTCGCACCGGACATTCCCAACCCCTCGACTGATCCAGGTTCGATCACCTTAAGTGACACAGATTAGACATCTTTTGATAAAGCTACCGCATATGTGATTATGGTCTATTTGGTCCATTCCTTAGAAATGGTTCAACATTGTTGGATCCATGAAATCTCAGATTGTAGTATTTGAATCTTGTTGCTGACGCCGAACTGTGTCCAGAATAAATCCTTTGTACAAAAATTTCTGTCTTCTGCTAGTTACTAAATGAAGCAATGAATCAACTTGCACTACTTTTGTTTAGTACAATGAGCTGTAGTTGTCTGTGGCAAGAGAATCAAGATTTGAGATTTTGTTTTGACTTTATCTTTGAACTGGGGTATA